AAGAAGGTTTGCTTTGATATGTGCAAAGTCAGTAATGTACGGAGCCCCTCTAGTCCCACTTTGGTAAAAAAAAATAATTATAATTATCTTGTGGCCTCAAGATAGTAACTCGTGGCCTCAAGATAGTAACTCGTGGCCTCAAGATAGTAACTCGTGGCCACAAGATAGTAACTCGTGGCCTCAAGATAGTAACTCGTGCCTCAAGATACTAACTCGGCCACAAGATAGTAACTCGTGCCTCAAGATAGTAAACTCGTGGCCTCAAGATAGTAACTCGTGGCCTCAAGATAGTAACGTGGCCACAAGATAGTAACTCGTGGCCTCAAGATAGTAACTCGTGGCCACAAGATAGTAACTCGTGGCCTCAAGATAGTAACTCGTGGCCACAAGATAGTAACTCGTGGCCTCAAGATAGTAACTCGTGGCCACAAGATAGTAACTCGTGGCCTCAAGATACTAACTCGTGGCCTCAAGATAGTAACTCGTGGCCACAAGATAGTAACTCGGGGCCACAAGATACTAACTCGTGGCCTCAAGATAGTAACTCGTGGCCTCAAGATAGTAACTCTTGGCCACAAAATACTAACTCGTGGCCTCAAGATAGTAACTCGTGGCCACAAGATATACTAACTCGTGGCCTCAAGATAGTAACTCATGGCCTCAAGATAGTAACTCGTGGCCACAAGATACTAACTCGTGGCCTCAAGATAGTAACTCGTGGCCTCAAGATAGTAACTCATGGCCTCAAGATAGTAACTCGTGCCTCAAGATAGTAACTCGTGGCCTCAAGATAGTAACTCGTGGCCTCAAGATAGTAACTCGTGGCCTCAAGATAGTAACTCGTGGCCTCAAGATAGTAACTCGTGGCCACAAGATACTAACTCATAGCCTCAAGATAGTAAAGTGTCTGACTCATGGACTCTTTGTTATTAAACTTGGACGCTGTAGTGCAATAATTCACTTTCTGTGCAATATTGTCTGTTTGTTTTTAATACTCAGTGTGCAATATAGTTTGCTGCTGGTCTGGTTCTATTTATTTACTAGTACTGTAAATCTTGTAGGCTGCATATCCATAGGTCTTTATTATTCTTCTTCATATTTTATAGCCTATGTTTATACTTTTTACATACATACTTGTGTATTTAACAACTTCTATTATTATTTATATTCCTTTAAATGTCTTGATGTGCACAACAAATGTGACACAAGAATTGTCCCCTGGTTATCAATAGCATCAATAAAGATAAAGTATTTCTGATTCTGATTAAGTTAGCCATTTGAATGTTAGAGATATTTTTGAATTTGTGTGGTTGCTTTTTCAATGATGTAACATAGTTGCATAGACATAGACAAGACTCAAGTTAAGTAGTGCATATTGTTATACACCATCCAAACACCCGGAACCCCTCTAATGCTCTCAAACCTTCTCAGGATACAAAGGGAAGGACCACACACAATTCTTAAAAATAAACATGATGGAATGAGTAACTTCAATGACACATATATATTTAATTTGTTTCGCACATTTTATATACAGAACAGATTGTACATTACCGTTTGGTTTACATACCTACACCTCCTCAGCTGCAGGTGGAGATTTGAGCTAAATGAAGTTAAACTGATGACTGTTTAAAATCGATGTGATGTATCATGTTATACCCTATACCGAGTGGGCAAGTAAACCCAGGAAAAAAAAAATCTATTTAGATATGATTGTCTTTGAAAGACGTTATTTTAAAAGGTTAACATTAAGCTTGAATAAAATGAAAGAAAAATACAATTTATAACTAATTTATTCTAGCATCCCATAGCTGAAGCTACATACACACACCTGGATATCCAGTTGTCTGTTAAGGGATTGAGCTTGTCCTCTGGTACCTCAGCCAAGGCTAGCAGCCTCTGCTGTCTAAAGTGACTTAGAGCTAGACTGTGGTACATTGCCATTCCTTCTGAACCTGTTTCCGACTCACTCCATTAGAGACACCTTCATCCAAAAACAAAAAAAAAAACTGTCCAATAATAGCATTTTATAGCCAATAGCCACCAAGGTGGACAAACACAGTCTTTGCCCTCATGGAATATAGCATAATTAAAGTAAAAAACAAACAAAAAAGATTTAAGACTTTAAAAGATTTGTTTTAAACAGAAAAGTTTAAAACAAGATAAGGCAGCTGTCTTTAACCATTTCACTAACCTAATGTAGTAGGAGGGGAATCCTTATCCGCCGGTGGCGTCATGACCTTTATATGAGAGGGGTTGGACGAAGTAAATGGGCGCAGTGTATTTAAGTGCGTAGATGGGAAGCCCTAGAACGTAGGCTGCGTCATTCCCCGCCCCTCATCCGGTTCTTCGCATCACTGTAGCTGGGTGACTGCTTGTAGCTGTGTGACGGCGTGCCCTCGGAGTTGCGTCAAGCACTCACCTGAAAGCTTAAGGTATGTCGGCTATCGCAATATGTCGTGGTGTGCCTTCTACGTCGTAGTCGAGTTTAACGGGGGTTTGTGTGTTTTATCAGAACAGCCACGAATGCATCCTGACAACGCGATGCACGTGTAATTCTTTTGTGGTATGTATAATTTAGAGAAGGCTTGGTATTGTCTTTGAATAAATCATTGCCTGATGGTTTTGTTTTATCTTGCAGTCTCTGCATACCACATGGTGGTCAACTCAGGTCGTGCTGCTGTTTTTCATGATTTGGTTTGGTGTGATGTGAATTTAGTAGTTTTTTGGGGTTTCTGTTGTTTCGTTTCTTTTTGGTTATGCCATTTCAACATCGAGGTTGACTAGTGCGACGGGGCCGTTGGCCGTGTGGTGTAAATACACCATCGTGTTCTGTCTAATTACCGACTGCACTCGTATTTAGTGGACCGCAATATTGACGAGATAGGCGGATTAATTGTGTATCCACTAATTCTGTCAACCATTTCATAATTCTGTCTACCTGAATGTTGTGGCAACTTTGTAAACTGTACTGTTCCCACTAATTTTTTTTGTTTTTTTTTGGTTCCAGTCAAGGTTGAGTGCGCCGAGGGGGAGGCTAGACACTTGGGTGAACACATTTGTCGTGAGTGTGGAGCACCAGGGTGGAACACGTCTTTCCCTTTTTGTTTGCTTTGCACACTGAAGTGGTTGAGAGCACATTTGATTTTTTTGCTAGGCTGCCACCCCCAAGGTAATGTACGCCTTGTAATGGTTATATTTTTTTTTATAATTATTTTCTCTGTTTGTTTTTGTTTGGGAACTACAGTATATATTTTTTTTCCATCTGGAATTTGATGTGATCTTGTGTTTGGATCCAGTGTGTCCGGAGAAAGGCCGTGTTCTTAACTTAATGCTAACTTTACTCTTTAAATAAAAGTGTCATTTATATTGTGCTTCCCTGATGCCAGTGGAATGAATTTCTTAATCAAATAAAAACACTAATCTATTTATTGTACCAAGCGACTCTGTTTTTTTGTTTACTGCACCACCGAACCTGTGTTCCTTGACTTCCTTGGGTGAAACTCCCGAGGTGGCGTAGTCATTAGTATTTGAATTCAAAATATATTGAATGTATTGGCCAGGTTACAAACTGGCGTAGTCGGGCAGGGTGGTTGCATTGCATTATTAAAGCAGAGTCGTGGAGTAAGTTTTTGTTTTTTTTGGTGTTTTTTTGTTATTTGTTTGGTGTATTGAAAAACAGCAGCCGACTCTGTCTCTGAGGTGATGCCCAAGCCCTGGACCAATTGAGGTCCCATCTGAACGAACGCCTTTCCTTGGATGTCTCCTTGTGTTTTTCTCTTCTTTTGTCTCTGTTCTGTTTAGTAATGGAGGAAGAACTGATGCAACTTAGAGACATTGTGCTACAACTGAGAGCTGAAAATGAACGTCTGCGCCAGGAGCCAGCAGCAACGGTGTCAGAGTCGATTCCGGCCCTCTGCGACAATACTGCAGTAAGACCATCTACCAGCAGGGCTGCGGAAGGTATTGGAACTGCTACTGAGAGACTTGTTCTTATCCCACGGGATAGAAAATGCCCTATGTTTCGAGGTAACTCTGGTATGAATATTGACGAGTGGGTTGAGGAGGCACGTGCATGTATGCGAGCTCGTCATTTGACTCCTGTTGATCAGGCTTTCTTTTTAGTTGATCATTTGGAGGGGGAGGCCAGGGATGAAATTAAATATCGTTCAGATGCAGAGCGGGGAGACCCAGAAATTATTATTAAGATTTTGCAAGAATTGTATGGCTGTTGTCAATCATATGTTGCATTACAGGAGGCTTTCTTTTCCAGAAAACAGCAAGAGGGGGAGAGTCTTCATGAGTTTTCTTTGGCTTTGATGCGCCTTCTAGACCTGGTAAAACGTGTTGCACCAGCGGGCACGTTGAATTTCGAAGTGCTATTACGTGACCAATTTATCGAGCATGTTTCTGATTGTTCTCTTCGCAGAGAGTTAAAACAACTGGTGCGTAGTAAGCCCACAAGTACCCTGTTGGATGTTAGAGGAGAGGCCATTAGGTGGGAGCGGGAGGGCATGCCCGGGGGGGTTCGAGGTCGTAGTCACTCTGTTCCATCGGTCTATGGCCTGCAGTATGGGGTTCAGGGGGGTTCCTCTACCATGTTGGGTAATGGCTCATTAGGCTCAGAACTGGGGGATCTTAAAGCAATTCTGAAGCAACAGCAAGACCAGCTTAATCAGTTAACCCAAAGTATCGCTTTGCTTCAGAATAATCAGAGGTATGTGAGACCACTCCGTGATGGCCCTGTAATTTGTAGGAGATGTCAGCGTCCGGGACACTTTGCAAGGGAGTGTGATGGTGCCAGGGTTCCCTTTCGTTCCCGATCTCACTCTGTAGCGTTACCCTCTCCATCTAGTACTGGACCCCTACCCTCCCAACAGGGGTCGGAAAACTAATGCCCACCGAACCGTTGAGCCGCAGCTCGGGTGGGGCCCTTACAGGCTCTTGTGTTGTAAATAGTGCGAGTAGTGTAACAAACTTAATGTCCTCCTGCCCCCATATAGATATTCTTATGGGTGGACTGAAGGTGTCCTGTTTATTGGACACCGGCTCTATGGTGTCTACTGTCACCGAGAGTTTCTTTTTGCAACACTTTAAGACCGGGAGTTTACAGGCTTGCAGGTGGCTTCAGCTTAAGGCTGCTAATGGCCTGGCCATTCCTTATTTGGGTTATCTAGAGGTAGATGTTTTCTTGTGCGGTAGAGTCATACCAGGTTGTGGCATACTTGTAGTAAAAGATCCTCCCGGGGGTGTCCGTGTCCCGGGGGTCCTTGGGATGAACGTAATTAGCAAATGCTACGAACTTTTGTTTTTGCAACATGGACCTGCTTTGTTTGAGTTACCAACTGTGTCTCAGGCACCTGGTCATGTGTTCCAAGCCTTACAGCAGTGTTATCAGGCAGGTGTTGAACCCTGCCCTGATGTGAAGAGTGTTGTTAAATTAAGTCAGGGTAGGGTTCAGCGTATTCCAGGGGGCGTGACCAAGTTTGTCAGGGCGACATGTGCAGATCACTTGTCTGGTAGCACTGCCTTATTTGAGCCTCTCGACTCTGGCCTGCCAGGTGGCCTGTTAGCATCTCCCTCTTTGGTACGGGTGTTTGGGGGTACAGTTTATGTTCCTATGGTAAATGTGGGCACTACTGATGTTCTTCTCTATGCTCGCACCCAATTAGGTTATCTGCGTAGGGTGGATGTAGTCAGTTTGCCTGAGGGCGTAGCTGAGTTGAGGGCCATTGAAGTTGTGGGTTCATCTCCCAGCTCAATTAGTAGTCATATAGATGCCCTTGATTTATCTAATCTTAGCAGAGAGGAGGCCCAACAGGTAAGGGCATTGTTGGTTGAGTACCAAGCAGTGTTTTCGGCTCATGAGGGAGATTTGGGCTGCACTAGTCTTATATCCCATGAAATCCCCCTGTTAGATGACGTTCCGGTTCGGCAACGCTATAGGCGGTTACCACCATCTGAGTATGAGGTTGTTAAAGCCCATATCAATCAACTGCTGGAGACGCAGGTTGTTAGGGAGAGCTGCAGTCCCTATGCGTCCCCCATTGTGGTGGTGCGGAAAAAGGATGGTAGCCTTCGTCTCTGCGTGGACTACCGTCAATTAAATCAAAAGACTCGTAAAGATGCGTTTCCGCTACCACGCATTGAAGAATCGTTGGATGCCCTTTCTGGGGCCCATTGGTTCTCTACTCTTGACTTAGTCAGCGGTTACAATCAAGTTCCTGTGGCAGAGAAGGATAAAGCCAAAACAGCCTTCTGTACTCCTTTTGGATTATTCGAGTTCAACCGTATGCCTTTCGGCCTCTGCAACGCCCCAAGTACTTTCCAGCGACTCATGCAACGCTTGTTTGGAGAACAGCATTGTCAATCTCTCTTACTTTACCTTGATGATGTTGTGGTTTTCTCTTCTTCCATCCCACAGCATCTGGAACGATTAGAGGGGGTGTTAAGCCGACTGAGACAAGAAGGACTCAAAGCCAAGCTGGAGAAGTGCACCTTTTTAAAGCAGGAGGTTGGCTATTTGGGGCATGTCATCTCCAGCGCTGGTGTCTCTACGGACCCAGGGAAAATCGAGGCTGTGGCGCAGTGGCGACGTCCAAGCCAGGTGTCGGAGCTGCGTTCGTTCCTTGGATTTACCAGCTATTACCGGCGCTTCGTGGAGGGCTTTGCGAAGATAGCTGCACCCCTCCATAAGTTAGTAGCAGAGTTGACTGGTACCAAGGCCCGGAAAAGGACCGGACAAGGATTGGCGGAGGCCTGGACAGAAGCCTGTGAGCGGAGCTTCGAGGAATTGAAAGCTAAACTTACCTCCAGCCCAGTATTAGCATATGCCAATTTCACACTACCCTTCATCCTGGAAATAGACGCTAGTCATAGTGGCCTGGGAGCAGTCTTGTCGCAAGAACAGGACGGCAAGGTCCGGCCAATAGCCTACGCAAGTCGTGGTCTTCGTCCCCCTGAACGTAACATGCTTAATTATAGTTCAATGAAATTAGAGTTTCTGGCCCTGAAATGGGCAGTCACTGAGAAGTTCCGTGAGTATCTCTTAGGGCAAAAGTGTATCATCTACACCGATAATAATCCCTTGAGTCATCTTGCTCGGCTAAGTTGGGGGCCACGGAGCAGCGATGGGTGGCCCAATTGGCCTGTTTTGACTATGAGATTCGATACCGGTCTGGCAGAGTAAACAGGAACGCGGATGCGTTATCCCGACAGTATCAACCAGAGAACATCACCACCTCTGTTCCAGAATTACTCCGACAGACCGGAGTGATACCATCATCTCAGGTAACTCAAACGGTCATCTTCGCCTTACCCCATCACTCTGCCTCTGATATATGTTCTCTCCAGTGGTCAGACCCTGTTATTCAAGCGATTTGGACCCTTCGAAAACAGAAGAGTTACCCTGGTTTAACGATGCGTCAAGCACTATCCTCCCAGGCGTTGGCGTTATTACGGCACTGGGATCGTCTGGTGGAGATTGATGGGGTCTTACACCGTCGCACTTTTCGACCTAATGGGGGTGAGGAGGTGTTTCAAGTAGTCCTACCAGCAGCGTTGAAGCAAGAGGTACTTACCCAGCTACACAATGATCATGGGCATCAGGGGGTGGAACGGACAATGGAGTTGGTCCGTCAACGCTGCTTTTGGCCCGGAATGGCAGCAGAGGTAAAGCGCTGGTGCCAGGAGTGCGAGAGGTGTCAGGTGGCGAAGCATATAAACCCCTCTGCCCCTAGCTTCATGGGACATCTGTTGGCTTCACGGCCCAATGAGATTTTGGCCATGGACTTTACCGTGTTGGAGCCCTCAAATAACGGCCTAGAAAATGTACTTGTCATGACAGACATTTTTAGTAAGTTTACAGTGGCCATACCCACCCGGGACCAGAGGGCCTCTACGGTGGCCCAGGTTCTCGTGACCGAGTGGTTTTACAAGTTTGGAGTACCTAGCCGGCTCCACTCCGACCAGGGTCGTAGTTTTGAGGGCAACCTAATTCAACAGCTTTGCCATCTGTATGGAGTTACACGGTCACGAACCACACCGTACCACCCCGCTGGCAACGGTCAATGCGAGCGTTTCAATAGGACAATGCATAACCTGCTGCGCACCCTACCTGCTTCAAGAAAAAGAGACTGGGCATCCTGCCTTCCTCAGCTAGTCTTTTGTTACAACACTACTCCACATCAGTCGACTGGGGAGTCTCCACACTTCTTGATGTTTGGTCAAGATCCCCAACTACCAGTAGACTTCTTGTTGGGCAGAGTACGGGAGTCCGGGACCGGTACAGTGCATGACTGGATTCAGGAACATGAGAGTCGACTGCAGGTCGCATTTGAGGGGGCTAGAGAAAGACTGGCAAGTGCTGCTGCACGTCGCAAGGACTATCACGACAAGAGGGTGAAGGAAATGCCTCTATCTGAGGGTCAGCGCGTTTACCTGCGTAATGTTGGAGTAAGGGGCCGGAACAAAATTCAAGATCTGTGGAGCTCTGTGGATTATCAGGTGCTGAGGGTACCCAAAGATAAAGGTGTGGTGTACACAATCGCACCCGTGAATGATCTTGGGAAGGTACGACATGTACATCGGACAATGTTGAAAGCACAACTACAGCCAGAGCCCCAGAACACCTCTCAGGACCAACCATCTGCACCACTGGAGCCATCTCAGGAGGATGTGAATGAGGAGGATTTGTGGCTGGTATTGCCTGCACGTTCGGATGATCCCAGTTCAAGTGCTGGCCCTATGAGAGATTCTTGTAATCGGTCGACAGTAACAGAGGTCGAAAGGCTGCCTCCGGTGATGCCAGCCGCCCGGGAGGCAAGGCCATTGACCCCTCCTACTGCTCCAATTGACCATCCAGGTCCAACCGTGCCTGAGGAGACTCGACCATCCTTACGACGGACGGCTCGCTTGACTGCGGGACAACATTCCAATTTGTACCATCTTCCTCAGACGGCACAGGGGGGCGCAAGAGGGACTGTTTGCTCTTCCAGGGCTGCGTCTCAGGTAGTTCCGGTTTTGTTTAGGCCCTGGCGTTAGCCAGATTAAATGCTAGGTTGGCCATTAATTCCATCTCTACTTTTCCTGTTTGAATCAGCTTATCGTCGGGGCGCCGATAAAAGAAGGGGGGGGTGGAATGTAGTAGGAGGGGAATCCTTATCCGCCGGTGGCGTCATGACCTTTATATGAGAGGGGTTGGACGAAGTAAATGGGCGCAGTGTATTTAAGTGCGTAGATGGGAAGCCCTAGAACGTAGGCTGCGTCATTCCCCGCCCCTCATCCGGTTCTTCGCATCACTGTAGCTGGGGTAGGTGACCGAAGTTGTGCTCGGCTAGTGTGGTTTTTAAATGCTTAGAGTTTTTGTTTTATTTTTGAAGTGACTGCTTGTAGCTGTGTGACGGCGTGCCCTCGGAGTTGCGTCAAGCACTCACCTGAAAGCTTAAGGTATGTCGGCTATCGCAATATGTCGTGGTGTGCCTTCTACGTCGTAGTCGAGTTTAACGGGGGTTTGTGTGTTTTATCAGAACAGCCACGAATGCATCCTGACAACGCGATGCACGTGTAATTCTTTTGTGGTATGTATAATTTAGAGAAGGCTTGGTATTGTCTTTGAATAAATCATTGCCTGATGGTTTTGTTTTATCTTGCAGTCTCTGCATACCACATGGTGGTCAACTCAGGTCGTGCTGCTGTTTTTCATGATTTGGTTTGGTGTGATGTGAATTTAGTAGTTTTTTGGGGTTTCTGTTGTTTCGTTTCTTTTTGGTTATGCCATTTCAACATCGAGGTTGACTAGGGCGACGGGGCCGTTGGCCGTGTGGTGTAAATACACCATCGTGTTCTGTCTAATTACCGACTGCACTCGTATTTAGTGGACCGCAATATTGACGAGATAGGCGGATTAATTGTGTATCCACTAATTCTGTCAACCATTTCATAATTCTGTCTACCTGAATGTTGTGGCAACTTTGTAAACTGTACTGTTCCCACTAATTTTTTTTTGTTTTTTTTTGGTTCCAGTCAAGGTTGAGTGCGCCGAGGGGGAGGCTAGACACTTGGGTGAACACATTTGTCGTGAGTGTGGAGCACCAGGGTGGAACACGTCTTTCCCTTTTTGTTTGCTTTGCACACTGAAGTGGTTGAGAGCACATTTGATTTTTTTGCTAGGCTGCCACCCCCAAGGTAATGTACGCCTTGTAATGGTTATATTTTTTTTTATAATTATTTTCTCTGTTTGTTTTTGTTTGGGAACTACAGTATATATTTTTTTTTCATCTGGAATTTGATGTGATCTTGTGTTTGGATCCAGTGTGTCCGGAGAAAGGCCGTGTTCTTAACTTAATGCTAACTTTACTCTTTAAATAAAAGTGTCATTTATATTGTGCTTCCCTGATGCCAGTGGAATGAATTTCTTAATCAAATAAAAACACTAATCTATTTATTGTACCAAGCGACTCTGTTTTTTTGTTTACTGCACCACCGAACCTGTGTTCCTTGACTTCCTTGGGTGAAACTCCCGAGGTGGCGTAGTCATTAGTATTTGAATTCAAAATATATTGAATGTATTGGCCAGGTTACACTAACAATTGTATTCACCAGGTCTGTTTCTGCATGTGAAAGTGTCTGTCTGTCTTCATTCCTGCTTTTAATGTGATATTCACACGGAGCAGCTGGCCAAAGTTGTAATGTTGAATTCCTTGGGTTGTAATGTATTGTTAATTTAAGTGACAAGAATGTCACCTATCACTTGAAATCTTTGAAAGCCAAGACAAGCTGGTTGCCTGTTCATGGCTTCGATTCTGCTAATGGTGCATCTGCAGTTCTTTTTGTACCAGCCACCTGTACTTGACATAACAGTAAAATAAGATTTTTTTTCGTCTTCCGTGAAACAGATGAAATAAAATAAGCAAGTGATTCATCCCATCTCCTTCTCTGGGTTTGTATAAGTGTTCACTAATTCTGGTGTGGTGTTGAAAAGGCATTATTGGTGAGTGGTCTTTTGGCAAAAACAAAAGGTGACATTCATGCAGTTGGCTACTGAAACACATTTAGGCGGATGATATTCCTAAGTGATACATACAAGTCAAGTGCTTGTGACATAAAGCTGAAGCCTGATTCTTCCATGATTATTGTACACATGTCGAACATGTCCTCATCACATGGAACTGCACTAAGAAACTTGCAGCGCTCTTTGCAACTGGCTAAGTCATCAGTGAGTGGAAGAAGAAGGTCCTCTGTCCCCCACAGGTGAGGTGCCAGATACATGAGATTAGTTAGGTATTCCTGATGGGACATTGATGTTTTTGGAGGGCCGGATGCGATGTGCGTTCCAAACGTCTCTTATTTCATTCAAGTCCTCCTGTAAAATAAAGGGGAAAGGGGGGTGTACACCATGTGTTTGCCTAGTAGCGCTTTATTAGATACGCGGCATCATGGGGATGCATCATGGCATTATTTGCTGAAATCAAACAACAGGGCTAAACATACAGACATGTTTTGCGCACCCACATATTCTTAAGGTGATGATACACAGGGCAACTTTTTGAACTTTTTGAGCCCAGCAACATTGCTCAAAAAGTTGCCCTGTGTATCATCACCTTTACAGTGGATTCAGTGAGCAACCAAGCACACCAACCGGACACTGACAATTATTATACTATACTATAACATAATCTATACTATAATTATTATACTACAATTACTATAAATATAAAAACAAGGTTAAGTTGTGATCATTTTTTTTTTTACCAGCAAAGCCTAGCAACTACAATACAACCAGAGGTGGAAGTAACGAAGTCTACTCACATTACTGTAATTAAGTCTTTTTTTTGGGGTAGGGGAGAGCATAAAAACTTGTTAAAAGTAGCTATTTTCTACATAAATCTATGTGTCACGGATCCATCTGCGTCAGCACCAGATACCTTCACTCCGCCTACTCGTTCCGGTTCCCCTGACTACTAATCATCACCACCTGCCGTCACCACCTGCCATCACTTATACGGACTATCATCCACTCCATATATACTCACCTCATTCAGTCACTCACTGTCTGGTCTCGTCTTTACCACGACTACAGACTCCCTATCGCTATCTCACGTTCCTGCTACTACTTACCTGCATTGATTCTCCAGCCCGTCAGCCTCCCGTCTGTTCCTGTCCTTGGTCCCCGTCTGCTGCCAGTCCTCTCCAGTCTCCAGCTCCGTTCCTCTCCCCGCTGTTCCAGCCAGCTCTCCGACCTCCCGCTCCTGTTTAGATAGGAAACCATCATCAGACTGTTTATAGCCCTCTCCAACTTCAACTACCACGCTACTTACCATTCAGTGCTTGTTATTCAATAAACTCTGTTCATACTCACCCGTCTGTGCCATTCTGTTCTGTGACAGAAGACCAGACCAACCAAAACATGCTACAACCTACGCCCACTACCACCACGGCCACGAGTTCCCTACCTACATCACCCCTTCCCCGGACTAGTGCATCTGTGCTCGCTACTTCCACCATAGCCTTTTCCTCTGCCTCTGCCTCTGTATGTCCCATGGCCCAACCAGCGCCCTTCTCTGGCGAGGAGGAGGAGTGCAGCGGCTTCCTTCTGCAGTGCGAGCTCTACATGCAAATGATTCCATCCTCGTTCCCCACTGAACAATCGAAGGTAGCTTTTTTCATTTCCCTTATCCGTGGTCGGGCTTTTCAATGGGCTCATGCCCTATGGAAAGATCGTGGGCCCGTCACCAGAACCTTCGCCACATTCTCCAGTCATTTCCTGGAAGTGTTCTCACAATCTGTGCACTCAATCTCCGTGCAAGATCAGCTGTTTCGTTTGAAGCAAGGGAGATCCTCAGTTGCTGCATATGCTCTGCAGTTCCGGACCCTCGCCGCTACGCTGGGATGGAATGAGTCTGCCCTCATCACCGCATATCGCCACGGTCTGAACCCCGACATTCGCCTTCAGTTAGCCATCTACGATGACACAGTGGGTATCGAGAGCATCATACAGCGATCCATCCGCATAGATCAACGCCGCACTGCTTGCCAGCTAGATAGCCCTGCACCTCCGCCTCCTCGCCCATCTGCCGCTTACAGTCCTCCAGCACCAGAGCCGATGGAGATCGGGTCTGCACGCCTACCGATCTCCGAGCGAAACCGCCGCATAACCAACGGGTTATGTTTGTATTGCGGGGCTGCTGGACATATGCTATCCACCTGTCCCATTCGTCCACCTCGACCCGCCGTGTTCCAGGGGTTTATGAACGAGATATTCAGAGACTTACTACACCAATTTGTCATAATCTACATCGATGATATCCTCATATACTCTCCAGATCTGTCCACTCACATTCGCCATGTCCAAACCGTACTCCAACGCCTCAGAGATCATCAACTCTTTCTGAAACTAGAGAAGTGCGAATTCCATCTAGACACCGTTCAGTTCCTGGGCTACCTCATCACTCCCCGCGGTATAACCATGGACCAGAGGAAGGTGGATGCCGTCAACAACTGGACACAACCCACCTCTCGGAAGGACCTCCAACGGTTTCTGGGGTTTGCTAACTTCTATCGCCGCTTCATCAAAAACTTCAGTCAGACCTGCTTCCCTCTCACAAACCTCCTCAAGGGCGGGGCCAAGTCTCTGTCCTGGAACACTGACTCCACACGGGCGTTTGACAGCTTGAAACGGGCCTTCAGTTCCGCTCCTACCCTCTCCCTTCCCAATCCAGCTCTGCCCTTCATCGTGGAAGTGGATGCCTCCACCTCCGGGGTAGGAGCGGTTCTTTCCCAGCGGCAGGGGACTCCATTGCAACTCCATCCATGTGCCTTCTACTCCAAAAAACTGTCCCCGGCGGAGCAGAATTATGATATCGGCAACCGAGAGCTGCTCACAATCAAACTGGCCTTAGAAGAATGGAGACACTGGCTGGAGGGGGCTCAACACCCTTTTACCGTCATCACTGATCACCGGAACCTCGAATACCTCTGTGAGGCTAGAAGACTCAACCCCCGTCAAGCTCGCTGGGCCCTCTTCTTCACCCGCTTCAACTTCTCCGTCACCTACCGTCCTGGACACAAGAATGTAAAAGCAGACGCTCTATCACGACAGTTCCAGCCCAGTTCTCCTCCTCTCAGTCCCGAGACTACCCTCCCTCCAGCCATCGTCGTAAGCCCCATTCAGTGGAGTATGGACGATCACATTACCGAAGCCACCCAATCCGAACCTGCTCCGCCGGGAGGTCCAGAGGGACGGGTTTACGTCCCGACCCGCCTACGCCTGTCCCTCATGGACTCAGTACATACCTCCCCGGGCTCTGGACACCCAGGCAGCCAATTAACTCTCTCGCTCGTCCAACAACGTTACTGGTGGCCGGGTATGGCCCAGGATGTCTCCCGATACGTCAGGGGATGCTCAGTCTGTGCCATGGCCAAGGTTCCCCGTCATCTTCCCGAAGGCAAACTCATTCCCCTACCAATTCCCACTCGACCCTGGTCCCATCTGGGTGTCGACTTTGTCACTGACCTTCCCCGTTCCAACAATCACACCTGCATTCTTGTGGTAGTCGACCGATTCTCCAAGGCATGTAAACTGATTCCTCTCCCCGGGCTCCCTACAGCCTTTGAGACCGCCGAAGCCCTATTCCACTACGTCTTCAGGAACTTTGGAATCCCCGAGGACGTCGTATCTGACAGAGGTCCACAATTTATCTCCCGAGTGTGGAAGGCCTTCTTCAATCTCCTGGGCGTTTCCGTCAGCCTTACGTCGGGGTACCACCCCCAGTCCAACGGCCAGACTGAGCGGAAGATCCAGGAAATCGGGAGATATTTACGGTCATACTGCCACGACCACCAGGACTGCTGGAGCCGCTACCTGCCGTGGGCCGAGTATGCACAAAACTCTCTCCGTCAATCCACCACAGGGCTCACCCCCTTCCAGTGCATACTCGGTTACCAACCTCCTCTGTTTCCCTGGTCCGGTGAACCATCAGATGTTCCAGCAGTCCATCACTGGTTCCAGACGAGCGAGAGGGTCTGGGACTCAGCACATACTCACCTCCAGCGGGCTGTCCGGAGACACAAGAGCCAGGCGGACGTTCGACGTGCCTCAACTCCCCAATACCATCCGGGACAATTGGTCTGGCTCTCCACCCGGGACATCCGTCTCCGACAGCCCTGTCGTAAGCTGAGTCCCAGATACATCGGTCCGTTCGCCATACAGAGGCAGATCAACCCCGTCACCTATCGACTATCACTGCCTGCTCATTACCGCATTGCACCTACCTTCCACCTTTCCCTTCTCAAACCGTATGCTAATCCTCTCACTTCTGCCTCCCCAGGGTCTGGTGCTGCGGACGTGCCCCCTCCTCCTACGGACCCGGAGGACGACAACATCTACCGAGTACAAGAAATCCTCGACTCCCGGCGACGGGGCGGCCTTCTGGAATACCTCGTCGACTGGGAAGGATTTGGGGTGGAAGAGAGATGTTGGGTTCAGCGGGAGGACATTCTAGATCCCACCCTACTCCAGGACTTCCATTCGGCCCATCCAGATCGTCCTGCACCCAGGGGCCGTGGCCGTCCCCGTCGTCGGTCCCGCCCGCCAGCTGGAGCTGGCCGTGGGGGGGGGGGTACTGTCACGGATCCATCTGCGTCAGCACCAGATACCTTCACTCCGCCTACTCGTTCCGGTTCCCCTGACTACTAATCATCACCACCTGCCGTCACCACCTGCCATCACTTATACGGACTATCATCCACTCCATATATACTCACCTCATTCAGTCACTCACTGTCTGGTCTCGTCTTTACCACGACTACAGACTCCCTATCGCTATCTCACGTTCCTGCTACTACTTACCTGCATTGATTCTCCAGCCCGTCAGCCTCCCGTCTGTTCCTGTCCTTGGTCCCCGTCTGCTGCCAGTCCTCTCCAGTCTCCAGCTCCGTTCCTTTCCCCGCTGTTCCAGCCAGCTCTCCGACCTCCCGCTCCTGTTCAGATAGGAAACCATCATCAGACTGTTTATAGCCCTCTCCAACTTCAACTACCACGCTACTTACCATTCAGTGCTTGTTATTCAATAAACTCTGTTCATACTCACCCGTCTGTGCCATTCTGTTCTGTGACACTATGATTTGGTTGAATATTTATTGTTAATACATTAACTATCGCCAGCTAAAAAGTAACTAGTAACTAGTACTCTGGGTAGTTTTTGAGAAGAGTAATTTGTACTTTTACTTAAGTACTTTTTTTTTTTTTTTAATTTTGACACCAGTACTTTTACTTGTAATTGAGTATTATTTCAGCAATGTAACGGTACTTGTACTTGAGTACAAATTTTCAGTACTCTTTCTTAATCCAAGTAGACCCACCATGCGTAAAGACGCACGCAACTCATTCAATAAAACAGGTAGCCATCCCCTCAATAAAATATATGAGCCAGCTGTTTATAGCCCATGGAAATTTTAGGAACTCTGCATTGTTTATGGGTTTGCTAGGTTATATCAATGTGTAAAATGATGATGACACAACATGGTTTATTCATAGTTACTGTGTCAGGGTTCAAGTTCGAGCTTCGTGGGGGTCTCTAACTAATGTTACCGGCAGAGATATAAATAAGGGGAGAGAAAAATGGGTTATTGCTTACGTGGTCCAACATTTCCCTCTCTCAGTTAAGCATATGCAGCGCTGTACAATTGGAGGATGCATTATAACGCCATGCAATAATATTGAACCGGCAGCAGTCTAATACAGTACAAATAATACAATCGAGTTAATGTTCGCTGATCGTGGCCTCAACCTATTCGGTCAAAACTGTGCGCAACATAGTACTGATCAGTGATGTTGGAGAAGTGCAGCCATCCTGTCAGTCATGCGGTGCGCATTGGAGTTCATTAGGTAAACATTTTAATTTAAGTCTGTTTATCTTTTTAATGTAGGCTAAATAAAATACATTTTTTGTAAAAGACATTAATTAGTGACCCCCACAGATGCATGATTTTACTGCTTCCATTCCCACTGGCTTGGTTACTGTATCATTTACATTGAAATCCCTATCACAATCACCCAATAGCATAAGTTATGTCTGGTTATGGAACTCTCTGTTTAGCTTCAGCTACTAGTTGTCAGATCATCGTCATTTAATATTACCTGAATGATTGCCATGAAGCAAAACTGGACAAGTGCTTTGTCCAGGAAGTCGCCAGAGAAGAGCCCTTCATCCTTGTCCAAGTTGCTGGATCCAGTGTTCAATCCCTTCCTTTCGCATTTGTCCCCACCAGCTCTCTATCCGCTGGTTTGCTGTGCTTGCTCCTATTATATAGCTCCTCTCTCCTGCTCTGTCATCTTCATCATTTTGACGCAAATACTGTTGGATGTCTCTTACCAAAGCATTCTCTGTACCCATGTCTGTGCGTAAAAGCCTTGGGCAACCGCCAGCCTGCTCTATTGCTTCAACAAAGTAGCTCCCAATAACTTTTGGATCGCTGCTTGTGTAGGCTGCTCTTAGCCATATATTCCTACGGGAATATCCATCTATGCATCCATTAATGCATATAACATACGGCTTGAGTTTGTCGTAGGAATCTACATGCCATATGAAATTAGGCCCCCGTGAAAAATACTGCCTGCGTCTGAGACGTCGTCTCTGGCGAGCTTGAGAATTGACTGGGTCCAGCTGAGACAGAAGGATCCTTACGTCTTCTTTCCTGACACGGATGCCTCGCTCCAAACACTTCACATACATCCACCGATACCCATGAAGTTTTCCAGGGCCTTCCAGTTGACTACATATAAAGTCGACAGCATCCTCTAAATTATCATATTGCCGACGATGTAATCCATACACTTTCAATGTTTGTTTATTTTGTTTATTTGTTTCAAGGATAGCCCCTTGAGATGAACCATCTCATTTTCGAGGGGGTCCAAGATAATAACTTCATGTCTTCATTAACTGCCTTTTACTGACAATAATCCCTTGCAAAGCAAGTGTGTTCATTATATCCTGGTAACGCATCCCTAAATTAAAATACAACTTAATCAAATTATCTCTATCCATGGCTATTAGTTATAGTTATGGAGGCAGCTGTCGAGAAAAGCTGCTCCCCATTGTGCATTCTCCTTTTATATAAAGTTATCTTGAGGCCACGAGTTAGTATCTTGTAGCCACGAGTTAGTATCTTGTGGCCACGAGTTACTATCTTGAGGCTACGAGTTAGTATCTTGTGGCCACGAGTTAGTATCTTGTGGCCACGAGTTACTATCTTGAGGCCACGAGTTACTATCTTGAGGCCACGAGTTAGTATTTTGTGGCCACGATTTACTATCTTGAGGCCACGAGTTACTATCTTGAGGCCACGAGTTAGTATTTTGTGGCCACGAGTTACTATCTTGAGGCCACGAGTTACTATCTTAAGGCCATGAGTTAGTATCTTGTGGCCACGAGTTACTATCTTGAGGCCACGAGTTACTATCTTGTGGCCACGAGTTACTATATTGAGGCCACGAGTTACTATCTTGAGGCCACGAGTTACTATCTTGAGGCCACGAGTTACTATCTTGAGGCCATGAGTTACTATCTTGAGGCCATGAGTTAGTATCTTGAGGCCACGAGTTACTATCTTGAGGCCACGAGTTACTATCTTGAGGCCATGAGTTAGTATCTTGAGGCCACGAGTTACTATCTTGAGGCCACAAGTTACTATCTTGAGGCCACGAGTTACTGTCTTGAGGCCACGAGTTAGTATCTTGTGGCCACGAGTTACTATCTTGAGGCCACGAGTTACTATCTTGAGGCCATGAGTTAGTATCTTGAGGCCACGAGTTACTATCTTGAGGCCACGAGTTACTATCTTGAGGCCATGAGTTAGTATCTTGAGGCCACGAGTTACTATCTTGAGGCCACGAGTTACTATCTTGAGATTTTTTTTTTACCAAAGTGGGACTAGAGGGGCTCCGTAGTAATTTGCCTGAGACACTATACATGTGTAGAAATAATTATTTGTATTTCAAAAGCAGTAATTGTTTTTCTAAGTATAATAAAAGGAAATGTGCCTTTCGGAGAAAAAAAAACAAACAAAAAAAAAACATTCAATATAATAGTGTTGTATAAAGAAAATAAAAAGCAAATATGACTATCATCACAAAGATGTTGTATATAAGAAAAAGACAAAGAAAGTTTGTAAAATTTACTAAAAGAACCAATCATGTACAGAAAGGAATGTTCAAATTCAGAGGAACAGTTCAGAAGAAACGTTAAAGATTGAGAAGATTGGATCAGTTGTGCTCCGTTTTTGGAATACTTAAATACATTTTTTTTTGAATAATTGATGCAGCCCGGCCTGAACATTTTTTATTTTTTTTTATTTTTTTTATGTTAAATAGTTTCAATATTAAAATATTTGTTTGTAACGGGTCTCACATATTATCACTAGTTAATGTATAATTTAACATGAACTAACAATGAGCAATGCATTTGTTACAGTATGTATTCATATTTGTTAACATTATGTTAATAAAAATACAAATGTTCATTTTTTGTTTGTGTTAATTTGCTGTGCATTATATTTAAACATGTTCTAGTAAATGTTTAAATTAACATTAACTGAGATTCATTAATGCTGTAGAAGTATTGCCATTTCTTAGTTTGTTAAATTATGTAAACTAATGTAGTTAACTAATGCCCTAATGGAAATTTGCCATTGTTTACCATAGAGCTTGAATAGAATTCAGAATCTAACTGTAGGAGCTTGATGACGTGTATGCTGCCTTACTAGGGACACAGAATACAGACAATACGTGGCACCATTCCATAATGTTCACATGGTCCCCTAAAGCAAAATATGTTCACTAACCTCATAAAACCAGTTTAATGTACATAAGTAAAATAATGCAGTCTAAAATGCAAAGTGTGGAATGTAGCTTGTTGCAGGCTAATATGACAAGATAATTGGTAAACAGAAATTTTTGATCTTTAGCCAACCTTTGAAACTATGTCCTCTAAGTATATATTTTTTTTGAGTGTTGAGTCAAGGCGAGTATGAACCAACATTTCAAGCATACCGGTAACTCTTAAAAATATAAGGTTAAAAAGGTTAATTACCCCCTAAGTGAAATGTTTTCTTTGAAATATATATATATATATATATATATATATGTAATTAACCTTTCTTTAAGAGTTACCGGTGTATATATATATGCTTTAAAAACTGTTTAAACCTCAAGATGCTTTAAACGTTTTTTTTAATATATATAAAATAATTTTTTTTAATATATATACAAATATATATATAAAAACAGTTTAAAGCATCTTGAGGTCAACAATGAGATAATCCAGCTTCAAATCCGTGATGCAATTCTAAACATGAAATATATCAAAAATTGTATATTTCAGGCTAGCTTTTGAACCTTTCAAACAAATATTTAAAATGTAGTTTTTGATATTAAACATTTTAAAAGCCATTCATATTCAGTTTTGGTATAAACCATATTAAGTTATTCATCCATCCATCCATCCATCCAACCAACTTCTCATTCATATTAGATCACATGGAGGACACCAGACACTTTCTACATGTACTACATAATTGGGGGGGGAAATAGCTGGTCCAACAAAGTATTCAATTAAGGATCTTGTTACTAATGTCAAAGAAACACCTAAATCATTTTCATAATTAAAAAAAACAACCAAGAAAGTGAAATGACTCCATTCAAAACTCAAATTCAAAACTCAAAACTCCATTCAAACACAATTGCTTTCAGATTGTATTTCCCATCAATACTCTGAAAAAAGGTTAATGACTATTTGTTTCTTTGTTATATAGCATAATAGCTGAGTGAAAATAAAATATTCAGTCCTGTGTGTGGAAATTTGAACGTGGTCGCATACGGTCAACTGGCACTTTACAATTTGGGTGAAATGTTTGGAAAAAAAAAAAAACATTGGTGTATTATTTTCTTTTGGCATTTTCTTGTTTGTTTTATTTGAAAGTATGAACCTGCCATCATAAACAATGCAGTCATACCATCAA